ATATATATATATATATTCATATATATATTCATATATATTCATATAATAGAGTAATTAGTTTCGTTTCGAGAAATCCACAGTGGCTTATTTGAGAGAATTCTCTAGAAGCTTGGTGATCATTAAGGTGCGGAATACGAAATTTTGGATGTCTATACAGATTTTTCAGCCTTTACCACTAAACACAAAGTATAATCTACATTATGAACAGATAAAACACAAAAAGATTTTCTTTTTTTCTCGAGAACCAAACAGTGCTTCAACACCTATAGATTTCGAAACGAGCAAAAACTGGTGGAGAAAAAGGAGAAGGAAGAGAGAGTGAAATCAAAGCACAACCTTGAGGTCAACGTTGGTGCGGTGAGTGAGAAAGTGCGCGAAATCGGGATCTTTGATAATGATCGTCCACTTTCCCGGGCCGTGCTTCGCCACTCCGGCGAGAAGGGCTTCTTCCTCCTCCTCCGTCCATTTTTGCTTCGGATTTCCCATTCTTCTTCTTTTCCGCTTTCTTTGCTCTCTCTCCAAGCTTTTATCAGTCTTTGAAACCCTAGTTCTCTCTTTCTTGTTCTCTGTCTGGTCCTTCTCTCTCCAGAAACCCTTTTTCTCTCTAGAATCTCTCTCCGAGCTTCCCATGGGAGAGTACAATTACGACATTCGCTACTGGGTGCTTTTAACACTGTCCTCTCTATGGACCATAGCCCGGATAATATGGGTCACGATAATACATAATACGATTTAAAAATTATATAAATTTTATGAGTTATAATTGAGAAAAAATATATATATATTAGAATTAGATCGATTTAAAATTAATATAAAAAATATGAGTCAATTTCAGATTAGATCCGTTTAATCTAAACACGATATAAAATTTGTAAAAATTAAAAAATATATATACTTTTCATTGCACATTTTTTATTTTATTATGAACTTATGATATCATGATAGTTATATTCAAAATCTTATAATATTATTTGTTTAATTTCAATAGATGTTATTGTATTTTAGTGTGTTATGAATTTTAAATTATTTTAATATGTAAAAAATTAAATAAAAGTGTACAAATATCATGTCAATTTCAAGTTCACATGTCAATTTCGTCTCACGGGTCATTTTCATGTCGTGTCGTGTTAACTCGTAAAGTGGTCGTGTCGTGTTCGTATTGTGGTTTTTAAAAAATTTTGTGTCACGGGTCGTGTTCGGATTGGCTGTAAATTTATAAAAAAAAAAAACGATAAAAACACGACACGTGACACAAATTACCACCCTTAATAAACACATACCCCTTTTTTAGGGCTTTTACAATTTTAACAATTAACGTTCTAAACTTGCTATATAAACAATCTAAATCAAACTGTTTAAATTATTTGATGATTAATTCCTTAAAACTTATTAACTTGTTGCAATATGAAGAAAAAAGAGGAATTGATTCTCAAAATAAAAAACTCAAACGACTAATCGTCAAAACATAAAATATAATGATAAGGTGTTAAATATGTGAGACGTCCACGCCCATAAACGCTATTACTTTAAATGATGCTATCAATTTAGGCAACATTGTAAATTACATTGCACTTCATTTAACATTGGATTGTAGCAACTAGCATATTACAGCTTCATGCTTCTAGTCGTCCTCATTATTATTTAAAAGAAAAATAAATAATTGGTGTCAAATGACGCGCAATCTCTTTGGGCTTGTTCTTTTACAAGTATTCTTGAGTTAAATTTTTAAGTTGAGTTTGAGTTATAACTTGAGTTGAAGTTGTAACTTGAGTTTGCGTTTGGTTGTGTACATTTGAGTTATGGTTTGAGATAAGAATTTTTTTGAGTTTGTGTTTGAGTAAGTCAAAACTTGAATTTATATTTAAATAGTATTTTAATAAAAACTCAATGCTGATGAAAAATTTTAATAGGGTATATGGGTCTAGTTTTATTCGTCTTTTCGTTGTCAACGCATAGAAAAAAAAAATCATCTCAATCAGAATTAAAACGAAAAAGTTATAGCATTTTTAAGAAAAGAAAAAATATTGTTCATTAACTTGAGTTCGAGTTTCTGAACTCGAGTTGAAACGGAAACTTGAACTCGAGTTCAAACTCGAGTTTAAACTCGAGTTTAAACTTAAAAGAACATGAACTCGAATAAAATTATAACTCAAATTACCTTTTTTTGAGTTTTTCACTCAAAAGAACAAACCCTTTATTATTATGAAAATCTCAAGATCAACCAATATGACAAAAAAATTCTCGCTAAATTTTTACTAAAAATGGTGATTCTATTTTTCACTTCAAAAATAGAATTTTAGGAGAAGAGAGAAGAAAAAAAAACACATTACTGTTACGCCAACTTATTGTCGATAATTCCTTATTTTCAATATCGATAAACTTGTAAATAGTTCCTTTTAGAAGTTAAAAGACGGTGAAAAGTGAATATTACGTTGTGCTTCCTTTTGGAAGTGAAACCATTGTTAAATGCACGCTTTACAACTTTATAGTATCGAATTTGTGGGGTCCCTTCGGCATCAAGCAATTTTGCGCCATCACCAACACCACCCTTCCCCCAATCGGGCATTCTTGCAATCGGATCTGGTAAACCTACTAAGCACTTAAGTTGTCTTTGTCTAGACAGATTAAACCAGTTGTCTACCTTGACTTTGTATGTTTTCCTTTGCTTCTTTCATGTTTTTCGTGTCTGCAAACACGAGTTGTGATCATCACATCGTTGATCACAAGTCTGTCAAACGCTACATTTGTGTCGCTAGTTCGAATCACAACTCAAATTTTTGTTACAGTATTTTTCCTCACAAAAATTTAAATTCAACTTTTTTCACTGTAGCGTGTTTTTCCACATGAATTCACTTTTTAATTCAAATTCTCAATTCGAATTAGAGTTGTCTAATGGGTCGGGCCATCCATGGACAGCCCGGCCCAGCCCATAACAGTGCCGGATTCGACACGGCCCAGTACGGTATTGTTACGAGTCGTGCTAGCACGATACGTTTTATAGGCTAGGACTGGGCCACAGCTTCTCAGCCCGCGGCCTAAGTCCAGCCCTAGCCCGTGAAGGCCCGTGGCCCGGCCCAAGCCTAGATTCGGCCCTTGTTCAGCCCGGCCCAGGCCCGCAAAACGGCCCCCCAAAAAGCCCTCCATCCCATGAGGATTGTGATCGTTGGGCCGGCGAAGGGCCTAACAGTCACAATCAGAAAAAATTCCCCAAAATCCCCTATAAATACCCCTTAATCACACCCTAAATCCCACACAATAATTCACTCTCAACTTCTTATCTCACTCTCATTATATCTCTCATCTTGTCTCTTTGATTTTGATTCTAAGCTTTTCTCTCGTGATCACTCATTTTCTTGCTCTTTCATTTACAAAGTTTAAGTTCAATCAATTTTCAAAAAATGGTCGCATCAAACTTCTCTGATTTCACTGCTCTCACTGAGCTTGGTGATAAGCTATTTTTCGAGGATGAAATGATGGCTCAAAACCCCACCCCCACTGAACCAGAAAATGCTCCGGTTGATAATGCTTCAGTGCACAACAAGGAAGTTAGAGAACGCAGCAGGGAAAAAAGACCGCGAACTTCTCCTGCATGGCAGCATTTCATAGAGGAGCCCCGACTAAATCCAAAATCAGGTGAAACATAAATTCGTGCGGTATGTAAATATTGTAAATAGTACTTTTCTAATAAAAATAGTGGGGATACTGGTCATCTGGATAGACAATGAAAAGCACGTCTACCGTTGCACTAAGGTGAGAGTGTGGACTCCCGCCAACAAACACTATCACTCACATAAAAAAGGTTGCAAAATTTTACATACAATCCACAACGTGCTCGTGAGGCACTATCTAAATTTATAGCTAGTGTCGAATTACCTCTTTCTTTTGCAGATGATGCGGCGTTCGAAGAATTCATGCAGAGGGCTTTCTGCCCGCAATTTAAATGGGTAAGTAGAAACACAACTCGTTCTAATTGCATGAAAGTGTTTTATGCAATAAGACAATCTCTAATTGATAATTTTAGGTCTTTTAATGCTACTGTATCTTGTACTTCTGATCTATGGAAGGGGTGCAATAAAACTGGATATTTATGCGTCACGGCGCATTATGTTGATGATAAATGAGTTTTACAAAAGAGAATAATAGATTTTCGTTTATGTCCATATCCTCATAACGCAAATGCTATTTTTGGAACAATAATAGAAATTTTTGAGTTTTATGGGATAAAAGATAAAGTTTTAACTATTACTTTTGATAATGTGTCAGCTAACACGGCTGCAATTAACATGTTTAAACGTAGTTTGAAACCAACGTTTGGGGGGAAAATTTTTCATTAATGGTGTGCGTATCACATAATCAATTTAGTAGTTCATGCAGGAATTGAACATATTTCAGGTAATCTAACAAATATTAGAGAATTTTTATCCTTCATATCTAGTTCTGGAGCCCCGCTCTAAGAATTCAAACAATATTGCAAGAACAGTCAGATGCGCCCAAGAAGGTTCCCAACTGACGTGAGACATAGGTGGAATTTCACCTATTTAATGTTGAAGGTTGCACTCATATATCAACAGCTCATCACAACGTATGTAAACAGTAAAAACGATCAACTTTTAATTTTCGATACAGATTGGCAGATTGGTGAATATTTTTTTAAAAATTTCTAGAAGTTTTTTACAATGCTACTGAATTACTTTCCGGAGTTTATTATCCTACTGCATATTTAGTTTTACATCAACTATTTAATATTTCAAAAATATTTTCTTATTATAGGGATACTGAACTTTTTACAAACATAGTTAAGCTAATGGAAACTAACTTTAAAAGTTATTGGTTAGGTTATCCTATATTATACGCATTAGCAACCATTTTAAATCATAAGTGCGGAGTATATGAGACTGAATCTTTAATGACTGCTATAGCAGAAAATTTAGATATTGATATGCTACTAACTATTACTGACGCTAGGAAAATTTTAGAAAAGTTATTTGGTTTGTATAAAGCAAAATACAACACAGGTCAAAACGAACAAGGAACTTCGACGTCAACTGGCAGTTCGGAGCCTAAAGGCTCGTCGTGAAGTTTCTTGAAGAAGAAAGAGAAAACAACCAGATCGTCATCAACACAAGCGTCTACCGAACTAGTAAAATATTTTGAATCCAATTTTGTAATTGATGACGACAAACTTGATATCTTATAGTGGTGGAAGAGTAAGACCGATCGTTTTCCAATACTGTCCGTAATAGCTCGTGATATTCTGACAACTCCAGTGTCAACGATAGCATCGGAACAAGCATTTAGTGCAAGCAACCGAATTCTTGACGAAAAGAGAAGCAGAATGCATCCAAATATCTTAGAGGGATTAATGTGCATTAAAGACTGAAAAGATGTCAGAAGACGAAAACAACAATATACGGATGATTCAATGCAAGACTATTTTTCTAACTTTGAAATAACAGAATTTTCTGAAAACACTTAGGTTTTGTAATTTACTTATTCTAGAATACTGCACTATTTTTTCCTTCGCTAAGGTTTTGTCCCGATCTCCCCACGGGTTTTACTTGGCAAGATTTTTAACGAGACAGTCATTTATGTGTACTTATTCGTATTATCTCAATTCAATAAAATCACATCTTTTGAAGACATATGATATATTTTCTTTTTTTTAATTGAATTTTGCACAAAAAAAAAAAAAATACAAGGGCCAGGGCCGGCCTGTGAAGAGCCTGGGCCTAGGCCCGGCTCTAGCCCTTATGGACTGGGGCCACGGGCCAGTTCCGGGCTTGAGAGTTTCTCCTCAAGCCCGGCCCTGGCACGGCCTTGCATTGTGTAGGGCCATGCCAGGCACGGCCCAGGCCCGCCACGGGTGTGGGGTCGGACGTGCCGTGTCGGCCCAACACGTTTGACAACTCTAATTCGAACGAGCGAAACAAACTGTCTTAAAGTTTTCGGGGACATGGACAGTTCAAATAAATATTTTTATTTATTTTTTTATTTTTTGCTCTTGCTGCTTGGATTAACGAGGGATTTAAATGACTCCCATGCATTCATCTCTAAGCTCCAATTGAGAGAATTAACTGACTACATGAGTGATACCATTTCTTCCGCGCGTCAGTTCTTTCTCAAAGTTATTTGCAAAGTTGCGTTTTCTGATACTGTTGCGCTTCGGTAATACTCGCAATTTGATGAAACAAGCAGTCTACGGTTAAATGCCCTCTACCCTTGTTTTAAACAGATAGCAAATGAAAGCTTCCAGTAAAGAAATCAAATAACTTAAAGGTGTACCAGTGATATCACAAACTCAAATCCAAGACCCTGGAGAATTTCACTAAGATCCGAAATAAGAGAAGTTCTATAATTATACATCCTCAACAAAGAGATTGCAAACTTAGTATAACATCTTTCTTCACTGTGCTAGAATTAACGCACAATAGAATGCTCTTCTTGTGGAACCATAAAAAGAGTACGTATGCTAAAGATACCACTATCGGTAAGCTCATTCAAATCTAAACTCCGAAATGCAAAAATAATTAGTAGTTCAATTTGGGAATCTTCTAATAATTGGATGTTCTATTCTGAATTCTCCTTCTTCTATTCCCTAATATGATGACTACTTTGGGTTGGTCCGCAGCAGCACTGCTAAAAAAATACTTAACACACCGACTCAGGTAGTCGGGATGTATTGGGATACATAACACTCCTACTAGGCGACATCAGGTGGTACTCCTAATTGAAGCAATCCAACTTCATCATACTATTTGAGCTACACCAGACCTAAGACCAGGCTTGATTGAATCACTCGGTCAGATGGCTACAAGGCTAGAAAAATGGATGCTTTCTGTGGTTATCTCGCTCTTACATGGATTGAGACTTTAAGTAGACAAATTACTTGTACCTGAATTATGGAAGACTTAAGAGATGACAGAGAAAGAGCACGTTATGAGAGACAAAAGAGAGAGGCTAAGGACGAGGAAGAGGGATGGTTACAGGACAAGAAGACTAATAAGGAATCTGAAAAGAATTCAGACCAGGTATTAGAACTTCTGAAGAAAATTACACAAGGCATAATTTATTTTCTAATAAGTTTAACCAAAGCAATAGAAAACAAGCTAAACTGGGTTGTAAAGTTCCCTAGAAACCCTCTTCCTTGAACTAACAAAGCTACGACCATAACGGGTTTGTGCCAATTTAATACAAAATTAGATACTGTAAAAGTAATGAACCAGTCAATACAAGTCCGTAAAAGACAAACTGCCAATCAAACATAGCGTTGTATTATAAGAATATAATAACAACAGTTAAGACATAGACTCCTCTCTTAACATCACAGGAAAAGTAATCTATTGCTCCCAAACAAGTAAGAACATAAGATATCAAATTACAAACAAGAACCAAAGCATATTCTTAATAAAACACGCACAAAACTCCATTCATAAACGAACAAGCAAACTTGAAAATAATATTAGTAGTAACAGAACAGATCGTAATATCCACAATATCAAATCCATTTCAATTATTTATTTATCTGGGTTTTCCACGAATTCTATGGAATTCAATAAAATCGTAATAAAAGCATGTGCTTCCCATGCTGAGCTATTCAACAACAAAGTTAAATTCAAGTTTCAAAGACAACATATTGTCCATTCTTCTTATAATCTTCTTTTTCCATGGACGATGCCCTAACTATCAAAATTGGCCAAATTAAATAAACAAGAGTTAACACTCACAATAAAATCTCCCCTCTCAAATAGGCACATATCGCTTGACCACCTGCTTCGCCGTCACCGCCGCGCCGACCAAAACCCCGCCGACCGCGCCCGCCACCGCCGCCGACCTCACCCCTCTCGCCGCCCGATACAGAGCACCCGTACCGAGGCCAGCCGCGACGCTGTTCCACACATCATCAGTATCCCTCAACGATACGATGCCGCTCTCCAAACCGGCGTACATCAATCCGATCACGCCCAATCGATTCCCCCAAACGCGTCCCGCGTGACCCGAAGCATTTAGAATGCGATTGATGCGGAGCTTCGTGGTGTCGCCAGGCTCGAATGACTTGACGCCGGTGACGAGGCCTGCGCCGGCGCCGCCGACGGCTCCGGTGAGGTAGCTGCATCCAGTGTAGAATGTAAGGTTCTCGCCCCAGGATCGGCGCTGGCGGCGAGCTTCTTCGTCGAAGAGGAACTCGGGGGAGGTTGGGAGCTGGTAGAGGTTTCGGATCGGCACCTGGAGATCCTGGTAGGGGTTGTAGAGACGGGGCTTGGAGAGGTCGGACCCTCGCTCGTGATCCGGGGATGAGATTGCGTCCGCCATGATCGGGAAAGCGAGGTTCTTTCTAGTCTAGGGTTTGCGTCTCCGGCTGTTTGAGAGAGAGAGAGAGAGAGAGAGAGAGAGGAGCGTCTTCTTCACGCGAAAGAAGACTCCGGAGCCGACTTTTTGCTTTTGGGAAATTTTTTTGAGAATCTTTTGTTTTTTGGAAATTTAAGGAGAAGAATTAAAAAATAAAAATAAAAATAAAAATCGCTAAAGAAAGATAGTCGGTGTCATAAGCCGGTCCGGTCCTTACGCTCCGGTCTATGTGTTTGGACTAAACGATGATAAGTGATATGTCGTTTTGTTTGAGCTATTGAGAGGTGGATTGGGATTTCTGAACTTCTGGTTTGATCTTCCTCCTTTTCAAAAAAGTTTTTATTCAGCAAAAAAAAAAAAAAAAGATCGTTTGATCTGTTTGATTTAAAACTTAATCCAACCAAAAAAAAATCAGCCAACATTGGGCAGGTTAAAAAAATAGATTAGCAAAAAAAAAAAAAAAACACACACACACACACACAAAAGATTATGAAAAAACTAAAATTCATCACATTCTTTATATTAAATTTCAATATAGCCAGATAAGTCATCAACCAACAACAAAAGACTAATAAAAATTGAAATCCATTCCTTCAATACCAATAATTAAAAAAATATCGACCAAGATACTAGACATTTTACATTTTACGTTTACATAAAGATAGAGTGGTAGGGTATCTTTGTATCAAATTAAAAACACGTTCTATGCTTCAAACAAAACTTTTAATATATATATATATATATATATATACACACACACACATATATAGATATAATTGCATTCAAATGTCTGGTTGTATTGATATATGATGACTATTTTTATTTTGTAAAATATTTGATTTTTAGTAAAGGAGTTAAATTTTTTGGTTGGTCAAAATTTACCAAGATTCAAGGCCCTAACAAAATGATATTGGGTTGTTTATTTAGTTGTTTTTTAGTGAAGGTAACAAAACTCCTTTTAAGGCACTTGTGCTTTGGTTTGTATTTTGCACAAATAACCATCCAAATCGCATTGCACTCGGTCTTATTTTATTCACACTCATCAAAGACTAGAAAGACTACGGGAGTCTTTGATATACAATAATATTATGAGGCATGAGAATATAATGGAATTTGCAAGATTCCTATATTTGGTATAATTGTGTAAATTTTTTCTGACCGAGAATAATACAAACCATGGAAATCACTTTCATTGATTTAGAATATACTAAAACCTATCCAACATAATTTTATTCAATTTTCAGAAAATGAAAAAAAAAAAAAAAAAAAAAAAAAAAAAAAAAAAAAAAAAAACTCACCAACAAATCAACAAGCACTTTCCTCACAAATCATCATCACCCCGCCACCGGTACTGACTTAAATTGGTAATGAGAAACCAATCATAATCCTAAAATAATATAAATCTCCATTCAATGAAAAAAAAAAAAAAACTAAAAATTAAAAGGTAATGCCCTAATCTCTATCTTTCCTCCGCTCTTTAAATATTAGTCTCATCGCGCATCTCAATCTTCAAAGCTTCATTCACGGCGTCTTCAAAAGTATCAAATTTCAACCTACCCATTGGAGATCTAATAGAAGGTCTCAATCCCATTATTAAGTTTCGTATTTTCTTATTCTCTAGTTCCACCATAGATGCTTCATACCGAGACAAGAACAACTGAATAAACTTGGTCACATACTGAGATACGTTCATGTTACCCTGAGTTATCAAGGCAAACTCCTTGGCTTTTGGCCGTTCAAGACAACTTGGAAAATACCTATTGCGAAACCGATGTTTAAAGTTTGCCCATGACATGCCTGTGGGGCCATGTCCAATCTTTGTAAACTCCCACCAACGTTCGGCGTCACCGGTAAGCATAAGTGTAGCCAATTCAACTTGAAGATCATCGAGAACTTTAATGATTTCCAAGCATTTTGTCACCCTACGAAGCCAATCTTCTGCTTCACAAGGATCGGAATTCCCCGCGTATGTTGGAGGTTCCAGAAGTTTAAATGCCTTCACATATTTTATGATTTTGTCAAGCATGTTGTCGTTTGAAGAACCCTAGCGCTGGAATATGAACTACTGTCCCCCGCCAAAAAAAAAAAAAAAAAAAAAAAAAATGAATACCAAGTCAAGTTGGTTCCTATATTTGAACAGAAATTTAAATTTGTGTGAGAACATCTGATGAAATCGTGTCAAATATGTATATGCAAGAGATGACCTCCAATTGCAACAAAAAATAAATACTAATTACCCATAAATTCTCCTCTATGATGTTTCAATTTATAAAGTTGCCCAAAAATCATAATAATCAACATATGATGAGTATGTTAAACGCACACAACAACAACATAGCATTTTAATTAATCGTTAACACGACCGAGATTATGCCAAAACTCCTATGCAACTATTAAACGATTTACGGTTTTCTTTCCTTAGAAAAAAAAAGATTTTTATTTTTTTATGCTAGCTTGATAATTTAGTTTACTTGCTTTATAGGCAAATACTAATAAATTTTCAGGGAAGGAAAAAAGCTTTCCATACCTTTGAAACAGAACCGACTGAATTTTTATCACCTTGTAAAACACCTCTCCTTCTTCAGTGTATATATGGCGAATGAATGGACGTTGAAAGGATAAATGTTATATAGGTATTTATACCTTAAAATTATGTTTTAATTATATTTATTTAGATTAGTTTATACTAGATTAGATTTTATCTCTATTTAAATTTCATACAGCAGATTTTCTCTTTCTTTGAATTTTAGAAGTGGATGATTTAAGTTGATATCTAGTTTAAGAAGATTCTTTTAATTTGAATTAGAATTGGAAAATCTACTGAATCTCTTTTTGTATTTTGTATATAAATAATCATTAATTAATGAAAAGATATCGTACGTATGAGTAAATACGATATTTAGCGGTCGCCGGTCACCCGACTATGGTAGACCTAACCGGAGAGGGAAAGAGAGAGAGGTGGAAAGAAGATAGAGTTGAGAGGTATTAAAAACTCAAAAATACCTCTCAACTCTATCAAACATACTGTATCACGCATCCTCTCTAAAATAACTCAACAGTAATGCAGGTGCACTACAAAACACTTGTATGATTAAACGACGATAAGTGATATGTCGTTTTGTATCAGCAATGGGGTGGGTTCGCGTTTTCCAACGAACCCAAGCGCCTTTGGTTCAAAACTTCAAATCAGTCCAAAAGATCAAAATCAATCCACCCAAATAAACTTGGGTTGGATTGGAGAGAATGAAGATTGTAAATAATAATTAATAATAACAAAATTAACAGTTGTAAAATATAAAAACTCATCACATTCTTGATATTAAGTACCAACATAGCCCCACAAGACAAGCCATAAACCAACAAAAGAAAACGAACGAAAATAGAAATCCACTCCTTGACAATAACGTGAAATATGACTTTATTTACCACACTTGCCTTGGTGCTGCAATATGAACTAATTTCTCGTTATTTTCCCTCCATTTCTAGAAACTTCATTATCAGACTAAGGGGTGAGAAAAATAACCCGTTTAACGATAGAACCTACCTAAACCACACTATAACACGTGACAATATTATGTATTTTTTTTCTCACTTTGTAAATTGTAAGGATGAATGATAGTTATTTGGACTGAATTTTAAATGCCCCCACATATTTTATGTTTTTATCAGACGCAGAAGTCCCAGATCCACATCTTGCCATTCTGGATGCTACCTTTAGCTCTTTTTGTCATCTCTTCACTGCACCAAAAATAAATAAATAAATAAAATAAATTCAAGTTTCCGGATAAGGAAATTGATTCAGATGTCAAATAGGTACATGCATTGAAAAAGGTATTTCATTTTTTTAATAATATGATATTGATTTGACACAATTTGATATGCAAAATTTATTAAATGATCTAAAATCCTGCATGCGAGATCACTTCTAACAGCATCATAATAATATAATTACTAATTACTCATAAGCTTTCCCTATAAGATAAAGTTGGCCAAAAATCAATTAATACATAGCATTTAAATTAATCCTTAACACAGCCGATTAAACACGGCAATACTCCTACCCCCATATATTACCATAAAACAATTTCTTTTTTATTTTAATTTTTTTGTGTCTTGATAATACAGCCAATTAGACATCAAGAGATTACTTGCTTAGGCAATAATTATTAGATTATTAGATATTTTAATACATAAATTTTCATGGAAGGAGAAAAGCTTTCTTTCTGTACCTTCTTTAAAACAAAACCGACTGAGTTTATCACCTCGTTAAACACCTCTCCTTCTTCAGTGTTTATATGACAAATGGACGATGAACATATAGCTATTTATATAGATCCGCCTCTCTCTGTTTGTACAATGTTTTTCCAAAAATATTAAAACATAAAAATTCTTCTTTCCCTTTCTCTTTTGTTTTTGTTTTGTTTCCTAAAAGAGAACCTCTCGATACTAACTAGTAAAGTTACGTGCTTTTCTCATGCTGCGTGAAAAAAGGAAGAAAAAAATTAAAGCATAAAAAATGATTATATATTCTTACCCTTTTTTGATTTTTTTTCTGAAAGAGAGCCTTTCTAGTTTCTAGTTTTTTAGTCCAAAAAAAAAAGTTTCTAGTTTCTATTTTATAAAGAATAATAAAACTAGTAGAGTTACGTGCTCTCTCCATCTCTCGTGCATTTTCACTCATTTTTAGGGTCCGTTTGGTTAGAGGGATGCATAGTAGAAAAAATGAAGAGAGTTAAAGGAATAGAGAGTAAGGAGGAGGGAGAGTATCATAGTAATCGTTCATACTGTTTGGTAGGAGAGAGAGAGAGTTGAAAGGATGGATGATAGTTATTTATAAAATTATTATATTGTCAATTTAAATTATTTGTTAATAGTTTGTTTTGAGGGTAAAATAGTCTTTTAGACATAAAAGTTTATAGATTCTATGAGGGTGTTTGGTATGGGGTAATCATAAGAGTGGGAATGGGAATCTTTCATATTCCCATGTTTGGTACAATTATTATACTTTTTTAAAACCCAGGAAAGTGAAGCCCATGGGTTTCACATTACCACATTTTGGGGTAATCCTAAACCCACCCAATAGGGTGTTATTTAAATTCCCAGGAATCTCAAAATCATGGGAATCTCATAATAATAATAATAATAGTAATAGTAATAGTAATAGTAATAGTAATAATAATAATAATAATAATAATTATAATAATAATAATTATTATTATTATTATTATTATAATAGTAATAATTATAATTATTATTATTATTATAATTATTATTCATCATTCATTTCCTGCTGTAATTTTGCTAATATATTATTTGCTTAAAATTTTTTTTTAATGAAAATTTTGTTTTAAAGATGTTGTCCGTCACTGTTTTGGTCTTTGTTATGCTTCTCTATATTAGGCTTTCAAGTTGGTGTAGTTTACATGCTTTTGTTAAAATTTATAATTATTATTATTATTCATTTAAAAAAATATTTTTTTTTTAATTTACAACATTCTCATGCACAACCAAACACGGTAATGTAATATTCCTAGGAATTTGAGAATGATTCATGTATAGAACCAAACACAATAATGTATTATTCCTAGGAATCATATTACCCTCCATCACTTTTTCAGGAATATGATTCCTACTGATTCCTACATACCAAATGCCCCCTATGAATCCTCCCATAAATTGAAAGGATCTAATTTTTTGGGCCCAAGAGGATGAGCTCTCCCTCTCCCCCTTCCAACCAAACAAATGATTTGCTCTCTACCTTCATCCCTCCATCTTTCACTCCAACCAAACACACTCTTAGAGTGTGTTTAGTTGCAGTGAAGTAATGGTAATGATAATGGGAAAAAGAATGGTAATGGTAATTAAATGGAAAAGAATGTTGATTCATTTATTTAGTTGTAATTTTAAAAATATTATAGAATGGAATTTGGATATTTTCATGTTATGTTACATATAACATTAATAATTTATATACCAATATAATTAATATAATATATAAAATGCAGTATAATATAATAAAATTATTATTATATAATATATTAAAAAATTATGATATAGAATATAATAATATTATTAAAATGGTTAATATAATTATAATATTATAAGATATATTATAAGATTATATAATGAAAAATAATACTTCAGTTATATAATATAATATATATGATTACA